ATATATATATATATATATATATATATATATAAAAAGAGGCTGAATATTGATTTTTGTGTGTTACGTGGCCTTCTGGGTTTGGTCAGATTACATTTTATGATGCCCACAATACAACATCTATAGTTTTGTATGAATTAGAAATTCAAATGTTCAATATTGGGAAGCTAGAATATAAAATAAGAACCTCCCATCTTTTCTATTTGCTGAGATATGATATTTAGCAAACTTACCATATTGGCTCCTCCCACCACTTCATCATTTGAGAAGACTTATTTATTTACACCTACTTTTATATACCAATAACTTTATAATCAATCAAAAGCTATATATATTCTACATAATTCTGTCAGTCTTCCTAAGTTACTTATGAGAGAAATGCTCTTATATCATTGGAAAGTTTGAATTATTGCTATCAAGGCTATTTTGTGAATAAAAATTATATTTTTTTAGACACAAATGCAATTTAGTTAGAAAGCCTGATAAATTACAGTGAATATTTGGGGTATTGATATATTAATTTATAATTTTTTTGTATTCCAAAATGCTTATATAAAGTCTACAAAAGTTTTTAATTTTCAATCTCCACATGTGAATTTGGACAAGGCTTAGCAAGTATGGCTCAAGAGTGCAAACAAGGACATCGTAAGTAGTAGAGATTATTGTTTTCCAAGTATGTTTTATTTACTCTTTTACGTTTGAAGAAAAATTACTGACATTTAAGTATTTATTTGAAAACATTATGTGTGTGTATATACACACACACATCATAAAATGGTTTTCTTTTACAATTTGCAGTTATTCTAGAACAAGAAAGATAATTTAGATTTATTTCCTAATTTTTATGATGATTACAAGGTTGGTCAAATCAATCAACACCATATAGAGTTAATATTGATAAAATAACAGATTAAATTTAAAAGTTTTATTTAAAAAAATGTTTGATAATCTAGAAGGATATAGAGATTATGTAAATGAAACTTGACAAATTTCAGATAAAAAAAAAGTATTTTTAATATTAAAATCAAAATTACTTTGTACGTTGGATAATCAACATTCTGAAAGAAAACATTCACAAGCAAATCTTTAATAAAAATAATCTTAAAACATAATTCAAAAACCATATATTTTGTGTATGAAGTCCCTGTAATGTTTACTAATAATCTGCAAAATTTTGTAGACTTGTGTACATTTTCAAAAATTATAGTATAATTACTCTCATAGATGCTTTCATGGATTCCATTCAGCCTGTAATGGAAGGGTTAAACTTAAAGATCAGTGACTTGCTAATCAGTGTTGCTGGTCTGCCACTAGAATTTATATTGAGTCTATCACTATGATTGCTTCCACTTTTGTCTTCATTCTCTGTGTCGTGACTTTTTTTTTTTTGCTTGTTTCTGGTTTTGCTTACTGTTTTCTCTTAAAATAATAGTTTGTCTGCAGCTCTGTTTACATTACTTTGACTTACACTTTGCATAACTTTTTTTTTAAGAACCGGGTAGTAACTTTAAAACCAGATAACAGTCATGACAGGTTGGTTTCCGGGTACCCAGTGAAAACACTATTATGACAATGGAAAAAATCCTGAAACTTATTATATCAATGGCATGTCCATTCATTCATTTTCCTTTTATAGTGCAAATGATTTTTAAGAAATTAAACTCATCTCTTTTGTTAGGTTTTTTTTTACTGTTATTTGACACAATTTTTTCATTAGTTTTATAAATATACTATTTTTGCTTATCTGGTTTTGGGTATATATACTTAATTTTACATTTTTTTATCAGAGCAGTCCCTGAACAGTAGTTTGGACATTTCTATATGATGGTCTTTGGACTGATAATCGCATATAATTTTTATGGTATAAAACTTTATGATCCATTTGTGAAATAAAATGTTATTTACTTTTCTGTAAATGATTATTAAACCAATTACAATAATATGGTCCAAAGGAATTTCAATACCAATGCAGTCATATCTAAACACACTTTTTTGCAAGCCTAATCTAATGCAAACAAAATGTAAGGCTTTTGTGTGAAGTGCCACATGATAACCAAACTAAATCACTAGAAATTATAATTTTTCTCTTATTTATTTATCATCCCTCCAAGAAGTATGAAATTTAAAATGGATTATTCATTATAATATAGTAATTACTCAAACAAAGCATAATATTTATAGCTTTCAATCTTATTTGTTTATGGAGTCATAAACTAGGAAATCAGACTCACTTGCCATTCTTACCTTTCACATTATCTCTTTCACAAATTGTCAATAGGTCTGTCTGATGTTTAATACTATATTATTTATAACCAATAGAAAGCCAAGTTTTCTGTACAGAGAATTTTCTATTTTGCTTCCAGTTCAAACTCTATTCCCATGGGAAACACATTGACAAGCTCAGCTGAATTTGTAATGGCTCTTATCACATTATTAGAATGTCAAAAACTATGGTAGTTATAGGATATTATTCTGCTTTTTATGTGTTATTATTCTGTGTTCCTAGGTGCATTATTTAATTAACCTTATCACCACTGGTCTTATGGTCAGGGGTCAAAGGGCATGGCATCACGTTCATAGACTTGCATTCAAAACATAATGAAGTACTATTTTATGAATGTATATCAGTAAGTTTGGTATAAAATTGTATATTATAATTCAAATTTTAGTATTATACATTAGTTAATTTCTTAATTTAAAATAAAATATTAAAAAATATCCTAAATATCAAGTTTTGTGTCACATGGTATGTTGAATACAGCCTTGGTTCAAATTAGATGTTTGATGTCCAAATACAAAGTCTATAGTTTCTAATGAATTAGAAACTCAAATTACTGATATTGACAAGGTAAAATATAAAATAAGAACCTCCTATCTTTTCTGTTTCTTCACTATATTTAGTGAATCAAAGAGAGTGGCCTCGTCCACTTCTTCCATTTTTGGAAATACCTACTTATGTACACCTACTTTGCTCTATCATGGCAATAAAATAAATGAAAAGCTCAGCATTTCCCCCTTGTGGTTTTCTCAGACTCTTGAAGGTAGGAAGATTCTATACATTGACACAATAAAAAAAGTAACAGACAAAAAATAAAGTTTTTCTTTAAAAAAACATTTGGTAATTATCTGGAGGTTATAAAGATTTCACATGTGAAATTTAAAAATGTTCTGATGCATAAAATTTTTTAATCTCCAAGTTATAGTATGAAAACTCAAAGGTCAGTTTGGGGGTCATGCAATCGACTGAATTGATTGAACCTGTAGGGAAAGAGTTAATGCAATACAAAAAAGTTCTTGTTAAAAAGACTTTCATAAAGATTTTAATGAGCGTCTTTTATGAAAGTCTGCATATCATAATAACTTTTTTCTCTACATGTAGTCTTACAGTGAAAACCAGTCACAAACTGTCTTAATAGTATAATACAAGACCTATCGTATTGACCTAACTTGTATCAACTAGTTGTAGCATAAATATACATTTTTACACCAGACAACTACAAATTGTCACAAAAAAATATTTTAGATCAATATTAATAATATAAAATGTCAAGCCATAACTAGTGTACACACACACACACACACACACACACACACACACACACACACACACACTTTAAGATAAAATTATGAAAAAGTCCATGGAATGTATATATTTTGTCTGTTTACAGTGGAACTACGTTGAATATGGATATTTAAAAAATCATCTTTGATTTATTATGATTGTATATATGCAGGAGATAACCAGTATTTAGATAGGTACAGATAAAAGTCTTCTGTTTACTTGGGTGTATCTTGGTCTACTTGGCACAACTTCAGTGCCGGAATAGTTTTTGTGAGGGGAGGGGATTCCACACCATTTTTGTTATGAATTATTGTTATTCCACATGCTCATCTTGTTTTACTGCATGTGACACCTCTGGTATTTCTCTAGTAGTTGCAAAACATTATAATTAACTCATCAAGATAATTTTTTTTATGATTTGAAAACTGTAAGAATGTGTTTCACGAGTTCTAATACCCTACTTTAGGACACTCATCATGACTATGGTAATTTAATGCTTTTTCATCCTTAATTTCAGATATGAAATTCCGACAAATCTTTGTGAGTAACTTGTCATTCAAAATTTTATCCAAATGGAATTCCTTTGATACTGTTTTCTGTACTCCATCTTTCAAGCTACCAATATAATTTTATTCTTTTGCATTTCAGATTTTAAAAAATTGGAATCTGATTTGTGAAATAAATATTGTACATAATGCAAGTTATAAGAAAACTGAATTACTGCTAGTGGCTCTGGAATTCCATGTATTGTGTGAGTGTGTAAACAGCTGTTCTTATCCTGCATAACTTTTTTTTTGTAATACTGTAAATAATAAGCTTTAACTCCATAACTTCGTCATGAATGTAATGTACTTTGGATCAATATGTAGAGGCCTACTTTACTTCTTGGTTTGCTCTCCCAAGCAGTACTGATGAGCTGTGAATTTGGAGAAACTAGTCTACTGCATAGGAAGTAGTGAAACAAAGATTAGATTAAACTTCTATGTCATTCATGGATTTTTTCTTTATTGAAGTTAAACATTTCGTGAGGAAAAGAAAAATTCACAGGTAATGTAGAACTTAATTTGCCTGTTGGTAATAAGAGGTGGTTATAACGTTAAAAAAATGTATCCAGATGATATTCAATTCTATTAGCTTGTATTAAAATAATCTTGGTATTGTAGGCCTGTTGAAACTATTTATATAAAATAATCTACACAAGAAAAAGAAATGTATGAGATTACTTTTCTCATGAGACTATCTGCAACATATTCTCAGATTCATTATTTCTCAGATACTCAAATATTGGATAAATTAACTCAAAATATATTATAAGGCCCAAGTTTTCCAAAGATGTTTGAGTAGATAAGCTTTTAATATGCTCATTAAAGCTTTGGTAAAAAAAAAAAAGTAGGTGTATTTTCAGATGCCACTGTTGTAAAACAATGTGTTAGTATATATATGTGTTTCTCAGTCTTTAATTCTTGTAGAAATCAGGAAACACTGAAGTGTAAGATATTTGTTCTTAACTTTTCTACTTCTATCTCTTTCAAATTCTCTTTTTAAATACACTGTAAGTTTAAGTAATGTAAACTGATTCTAAAAAATAGATGTTAGTGTAGAGGCTATAGTTTTTATCATAATTTTGATAGGTAGTTAATTTTGAGATATGAAGGTATTGAATGAGATGATTTTACAAATGATAGAATCTATAATGGTACTTTCTTTAGTGAGAATTCAGTGTTACCTAGGTAATGTGTAAACTACAAATGAGTTTACAGATAAAGTTGTTTTCTTCACAAGGTTTTCCTCCCATAAAAATAGTTACTAACAAATTGATTTGTCCTTTGGTTGATGTTAGAAAAAATACACATACAATTACTGCAAAATTTAGAAATAATCTCAACGTTCTTGGTTCTCTTGTTCAGATAGAAAAAGGAAAAATCTTAGTTTGCAGTTAGTGTAAGTAATAATGATGAAAGTCTTCCGGATATTTCTAAAAAATCCTGAAAACTTCCGGTTTTCTTCCTGAGAAACACATTTTTTAAAATTATTTATCGGATTTTGGTGTTCCATGCCATAGGTAAGCGTTTATGCAATCTCGCGGTTTGTTCACATTCGGCGACAGGGCGCCACCATTTTGTAGTCTCGCAATGCTTGCTGGCGTGTACGAGACCTTGTATGCTTATAATGCAAACTTCATGTCATGTGAACGAGATTTTATCTCGAAAACGTGCTTTAGAAAACGCGGTCATTCTTTTGTGTACCTTTCTATTGAGTGAGACAATTGAAGCGCCTTATCTATTCAAAGGTGTTTCCCGAAGCGATAATAGATCAAATGAAATGTACAAACAAGTAGATAGGTCAGCGGATATCAGTAGCATAGAAGGAAAGGTAAAGAACAAGTTCAAATGGTCGTGGCTGGAGGAAAAGGATGTAAATGGTGACTTTTTATCGGACTTTGTGAGGAAAGTGGACAGGCCAGGATATGCACTATGCACGTGGTTAGTAAATTTTACTTTATAGATCTATTAAAGTTTATAATAATTTCTTAATTATCATTCAATGACGTGACTGATCAAGACGGCAAATCAAAAGATCAGTATTTGAGAGAAATCTCAAGAATACAGACAGATCCAACCCTACCTGGGATAAATGACAGCACCCGACTGGATCACTGGTGGAGAGAGGTTATGCCTTGCTATCCAGCTCTTGGGAAGGTAGTAAGAGCTTATCTTAGTATTTTCACTGGACCCAAAATAGAACAGTC